GGGTTGGGGGCAAGGAACAGACCTGCCCGGGAACTCTCGGGGAAGAGCTGGTAGCGTTCCAAGCTGGCCACAAAGCCTTTCTGGCCGCCCTCCTCTTCCTTGATCGCTTTGCTCCGTCCAGCGGCTGTTCCAGAGTGGACCAAAAAAAAAAAAGGGGGGGGGGACACAAAAAAAAAGAAATGAAATAGTGAAAAGGGTCCCCAACCCAGAGACCGCGGCTTATTTGGAATTGGGACACAAGGGTATATATAAGCTCAGCTCTCACACGAGCGACTGGCACTTGTGTGCCCAGCTGCACTCATGTGAGGGGCGGGCACACACATGCAAGCCACTCATAGAATATCCCCTCCCACCCTGCACTGAACTTCCTAATGTCTACATAAAAGGTTAACAGTTTCCCCGTCCACTCGTTTCCGATTCTGGGACGCAACACTCCTCTTTGTTTGTTGCCCAAGGGAGCCTGCATTGTCTGAAGATGCTTCCATTAGTCCCCGATATGGCTATATCAAAGGCATACAGAATGCTGTTACCTTCCCATCAATTTGGTACCTATTAATCTGCTTGCACTTTCGAACCGCTAGCTGGAGCTGGTAACGGGAACTCACCCCATCTGAGGAGCTCAGGTCTCAAACGTGGGCTGTCAGTTTTAATTCAGAGTCTTTAACTGCTCAGACATTGTACCTGAATCCATCTCTCTGTATATTAACCCATAGTGTGACCTTAAGACAGGTAGTCCTCGACTTTAGTGACAGTTTAATGTTACAACGGCACCAAACCAAGTGACTTATGGCCGTTTTTCAACGTTTCCAACACGACATACCCATGGTCACATGAACAAAATCGAGATGAAATTTTTGCAAACCTATTCATATTTACAATAGTTGCAATGTGCCGGAGTCACATGGATCCCAAGCCAGATTCACTTAACAACTGTGTTACTGACGTACCAGCTGCAGTGATTCAGTTAACTACTGTGACCAGAAAGTTAGTAAAAGGAGGCAAAATTGAACTTGTCTTGCTTTACGTGAAAAATGTTCAGCTCAATTGTGGTATTAAGTCGAGGACAACCTATACCAGTGATGGTGAACCTTTCCAGCACCGAGTGCCAAAAAGGGAGCACTTCGTGTGCACCCAGGGGGCATGCGCACACTGGAAAATGAACTTCCAGTTTCCGGTGTGTGCCTGCGCGTCTGCCAGCAAGTCTTCCGGTTACTGCTGCGCATGGGCACGCCCCAATCAGCTGGCTGGAGTGCATGTTCACACCGGAAACTGGAAGACCAGCTTTTCTGGTTTCCGGCACTGCCGCACGCACAAAGGACAGCTGTTCGTTGTGTGCGCATACGTACCAGAAACCCGGAAAAGGAATGGGCAACACTGCGTGTGCCAGGTGACATGTCTGTATGCCACTTCGGGTACACGTGGCATAGGTTCGCCCTCATGGACCAATGCTGTTATTTTTATTATTAATTTCCCACTTGTATTGATATTAGTTTTTCTGTTGTTTGCATGTATGCTGATTTGCTTGGGTACTGGAGAAAAATTCCTGGTTTTGCTCCACCATAAAACCTGGCGCTCCCCAGCATTGCCTACCTTGGCAGAAACCTGCGCAAAGTTTGCCTTCCTCCAACTTCTGACGGTCGGTGACTCCGAGTTCCTCCCACCGTTCAATCCAAGACAGGCTCTCGGGTTTGAAAAAACGGTAACCTGGGGGGAGGGGGGGGGAAGAGATCACAAAAGGAACAGGTGAGCCTGTGAATTCTCCTTCACTGAATTTTCTGGAAGGATGGGAAGAGATGTGCTTTGAGGCAGCTCATCTCCTGGGTACCACCAAGCCCATAAGGCAGCCCTGATTTGGGCCATGTCTGTGAGGTGGGACTGGGCTGAGAGAGGGGGACCAGCCCAAAGTCATTTGGCGGGTTTTCGTGCTGAAGGTGGAAC